CCCTTCTCCCACAGCCTTCTGCTGACCTTGCTCAGCACTATGCTGGTGGTCAGAAGTTCCTTGATTTGCTTGAACATCACGGATGTAGATGTCTGCTACACCCCCTTGCAAAAAGCTAGGGAAAAACAGAAGTGGTATATTACTTCTCCCCTCACCTTGCTCCATGCCATGCTGGTGGTGAGCAGTTCCTCGATTTTCTTGAACACCGCTGCCCAGATGCCAACTACCCCATTCGATCCCTGCTTTCCTCCTGTTGGGAGTGGAAATGGAAGTCGAAGTGGCATTGCAGAGTGTGCAGTGTGCAGTGTGCAGAGTGATCACTGATAAGGGCCCAGGGAGAAAATCATGCCTTGAGAGGGTAGGGTAGGAATTGGCCCGAGATAAAATTTGGTTGTTGCACAAAAAAAAAGAAAAAGAAGAAAAGGAAACAGGAAAGAAAAAAGGATAGAGTTCCAAGGAGGGGAGTAAAAATACTGAATGATAGGAAAATAGTAAAATAGTAAAAACTGCTGAGGCTGTTTTTCCATGCGCCCATTGTTCATGAACATTGTGCCCACACACACGCCCGGGCTGCGTCCCGGCCACAGTAAAACTTCTGGGAGAGAAGATGTTCTGTAAAATTGGAATGCAAACAACCTTTTTTTTTTTCCCTTTTTTTTTCAGTTGATGTTCTGAAAAAAAAGATGTTCTGTACATGCAGGGAGCTTCGCCTGCCGCAAATCGGGTCCAGCGTCCCATAAATTTTACGGCAGAAGATAAGAAGACTCCACATCTTCAGTGTTTACCCCTTGCATGGCACCAGGATTGATTGCCCTCCCATTCGAAGGGATTTACTGTGTTACCCTGATTTCCCAATCCTTCCAGCTCAGTGTAGTCAGTTCCTCAGCAGTGCCTAAAGACTGTGGGAGACTCTCCTAAGACACACCTCTCCAGCTCCCTAAAAGCCACTAAATATTCAATGATTCCTACTGTCTTCCCCCGAATACAACGTACGGTCATTATAGCTGTATTTGGTGTACCTTTCAGTCTAAATACAGCTATAATGACCGTATGCATTGTATTCGGGGGAAGAAGGTAGTCCGTCTTCATGCGTCATGGCACCAACCAGGCGCATCTTTGCCTGCCCAGACCTTATAGCCTCCTCAGGGACGGCAGTAATCGTGTGGTTTACGGCCCAAACAACCAGGTACACACTTGGAGGTTTGTGAAGGAGCACAAGGTTACTGATCTTAATCTGATCGCCCACAGGACTTCGAAAACCTGTTCATTGCTGCTCCCCTGTTAAAGCACCAGTACACCACCTATCGGCCTGCGGGTGTCAGCATGAAACCCGCACCATTTCGGAGGCCGCCGATTTTTTTTTTCAACGACAGGCCTGGCCGCGCGGCACCTCCGAGTTTTTCTTGTGGCCACAAAAACTCTCTGCAAGGCTGGGGCCGTGTACTAGCGGTTTAAGTGCTCTGCAGGCACCTTGCCAGTCTGCCCGTATCATAATACAGATGTTGCCGAGGATCATTCGTTGCAATCGCCAGGTCTGAATACAAAGTCTGCCTAAAGAGGCGGCCTTTAACTAAGTCCCCAAATGACTGCGGCGATTTCCATTCTCACTGCCAGGGCCACAAATTGCCATCCTTTCGTCAAGGAGATGCCCGGCATGAAAACACCATCCAACGCAAAGTTTTCAGACCATACATGCGGCGCCTCACGTGCGCGTGAGTTGCGCACGTGCGGACGCACGTGATGTTTACAAAATAATAATTAGAGAAAAAAACAGAAAGGGTAGGCCTTGGTACCCATAAGTGTCCCTCCCTTTTAAAAATTGTTTTTTTTTTTTTTTTTTTTTTTTAAA